ATAATCAATTGTACATAACCAAATTTTTTCAATTTATTACCAAAATTCCGAAAATTAATGTTCGGAGTGTCAGGCCGGTGGACTTATAGACGAACGCCATCCAGTCATGTGTAATATTCTGCATAATATATCGTGTGCAGTACTATATAGTTGTATATTAWTAGGTACCATGTATAGTATCATCTATTTTTGTACTGCGTCTGTTGCACCGGAGATYGTATCATTTTTTTAAACTTCATTTTACGCACAGTTATTACTGCRAATACATGAACGATTTAAATGACAGGATAATAGGAAACTTGAAAGGTGGACAATAAATAAAAACACTTGTTTAGACCAAATTTGTAGACTACAATTTTAATACAAGAATCGTGTAAAACATTGTGTGATACCACAGTGGGTTTTTATTATTTTTTTTTTTTTTATTATTCCGTCGAACGACAAATAAATACATTAGTACATAATATAGGAGCGTACACGTAAGGGATGGTTGGGCGGTGGGGATTTWGGGGGTTCGTCAGAGGGTATAACGAGTGATGATGTATATATACGAACCAACTGGTGATAATATTGTGACTGGACTCGATGAGACCCGGCACATCGTTCGTATATATAACCAGCACTCGTCGAGGAAAATGAACAAAAAAAAAATACACGGCAGCGGTTGACGTACTTATACACAATAACAACATCGTAGAAAAACAATAATCACAATATAATAATAATCATACATATTATAATATTATATAAGTTACGTACATATACAATTCGTACGTCATTATAATAATAGACAGTGATTAAATAATAAATTAACATATAATTTCGTGAAAAAAAATAATACAAATGAAAAGATAAAACAAAAATCAATATTGCGTTCGTCCTTATATTGCGATATACAAAACAGGCTAAAAAAATAATAATTAGACAGAAATCAAAAACGTAACATGATAATACAATATGTCACCGCCGCCGTGACCGGGAGCGAGATACTATTATCGGAACTTTATTAAAATTTACAATATATTAGAATAATATTATAAAATTAATAAATTCCCGATTTGTATGAGTGTATATTTTCGGGGAARTGTTGGGGGTGAGGACGTGACTGTTACATATATGCGTCCGGGAGGGTTGTATACGAGGTAATGACAAACTATAAATATAAACAAAAAATAATGTTCAAATCAAAAAAGAGAAACAAAAACACCAACAATGCACACGTTTAGTATAACTCTAATAGTAAAATGATACATTCATATAATTGTTTGCCTTAGACGTTTAATAATAATAATAATAATAATAATAATAATAAAATAAAACTACTAAAATAGTCGTAATTAATCAAATGTTAATCGTTATTATGTTTGTTTTTTTTTTTGTATAATTTTATTTATTTTTTAATTTTAAATATATATATTTATATATATTTATAGAAAAAAAGCATTAGTATTAATTTTATACTTTTCTTAAAACTTTTTTTATGTTATAATTATTATAATGTATAATATATAATATATAATCATTATCATTTAATTTAATTTATTCATTATATTAATAATAATATTTGTTTATATAATAAAACAGGAACCTTAGTACATATGTCAGCTAAATATAGGAACCTTGAATGCTGGGAGTAGATATCGGTACTGTCGCGGAGGGCGACAGTGGATATCATAAAAAAAAAAATTTTTTTTCAACTTTTTCGTGATTTTTTCTCGTTTTTCTGTTCGTCTTACGCGCACTCGCGCCCACGGATGGCATGTGTGTGTGTGTGTGTGTTTGTTTGTGTACGTCTGTGTGTATTTGTGTGGTGTAGAGCGCGCGCACGCGTAAAACGTTTTCCGGGGACGGGGCGCGTCGTCTCGTCCGCCGTCGCTGGCCGTATTTGCAGCCGCGCCAACGACTAACTCCTCCGTGCGTGGAGTGTATGTGCGCGGCGACTGCAGCGTCGGCGGCAGTGGACGGCGCCGTCAAGTCTCGCTCCCAGCGACGAAGACTTCACCGGCCTACCGGCTGCTGTTCGGGGGGAGGGA